AGCTGTTACGGGGCAAACAAGACGTGAGACGTACGGATCCATTTGCAAGCTTTATTAAGGGCGTGGTCAAAACAGGCGAGGGTCAGGCAATGGCAAACAGGTATATAGAAGACAAAACAAGAGCAGTCCAGTAAACAAGAGAGGGTCAGTCGACGGTGAACGTAATCCAACAGGGCAGAGTATTGTATGCGCATAACGCTAGTTGTGATAGCTACGTTACGGAGCCTGCTTTAAGTTTCTTAGTCTAGCCTAGCCTAGTCTTGCCTTGTCTTGTCTGTTTCCTCGTTTTCTGATCATTGCCTGTGTACTTTGGATTACCTCTCTCGTCTTGCCCTGTTCGGATACTGTTTGCCCCTGCCTGGACCTTTGCTTTGTACCTGGATTATCCCTCTAGTCTCGCCCCTGTTGGATTACGTTCGCCGTCGACTGACCCTCTCTTGTTTACTGGACTGCTCTTGTTTTGTCTTCTATATACCTGTTTGCCATTGCCTGACCCTCGCCTGTTTTGACCACGCCCTTAATAAAGCTTGCAAATGGAGCCGTACGTCTCACGTCTTGTTTGCCCCGTAACAGCTCGTTTTATTAGATAATGCATCATTTGCAACTTTGCCTTCATGTACTGTGATTAATCAACTGGAGAAGTATTGTATACTCTAAAAAATGCTGGGTCAAAACAACCCAACAGCTGGGTCAAAACAACCCAACCGCTGGGTCAAAACAACCCAACCGCTGGGTTTGTCCCTTTTTAACCCAGCGCTGGGTTATATTTAACCCAGCATTTTTTAGGGTGTATGGTGATAGTATATTAGCTCAAATTAAAATCAGTAGTGTCTTGCCTTAAGAACATTTCTTAATAATATATATTTTTTTACTCACAATTTCTATCTAATAAAACATTTTAGAGCTTAGCATATACATTATGGAAAAGATTTGATTAATTTCCATGACATTTAAAAAAAATCACTTTTAAAATAAGACCTAAATGTCCTGCTTTTCCAAGTCTATGTGAATCCAGGTGTAAAGTAAAATTGTTGAGGGGTGAATTAAAATAAATGTCTTGATATTTATTTTAAACCATTTAACTGATCTTGAGGCCCCTGGTTGAGAAGCACTGTGTTAAACACATTCTCTTGTTTTTGTGGACAGGAAGGTGGATGCGATCGAGGCGGAGACGGCTGGAGCGATCATGGCCTTCTTCCTGTCTCTCGGTCTGGCTCTCGGAGCATCTCTGTCGTTTCTGTTTCGAGCGCTCGTCTGAAGTCTCGGTGGACACACACCCAGCGCTCTGGACAGAAATGAGACTGAAGGAGCCTTACAGTTATACGAAGGTCCGGAGCAGCCCTCCACACAGAACAAACTCACAACATCAGCGTCACTTCAACATCAAGACCTGATCTTGAGCCGAAAGTACACAGACTCCCTGATGCTGGATGCTTTAGCCTTAAATATTATATTGTATTGCTCATAATGTAAAGGACTTAAAGCCTACACTGTTCAAAAGTTTGGGGTCAGTAAGATTTATTTATTTTTTTTAAACAAATGTAATACTTTTATTCAGCAAGGATGCATTAAACTGGTCAAAAGTGACAGTAAACTCATTTATAATGATACGAAAGTTTTCTATTTCAAATAAATGCTGTTCTTTTAAATGTTCTATTCATCAAAGAATCCTGAAACATAAAATGTGTCACGGTTTCCACAAAACAACCGTTTTCAACATTGATAATAATCAGAAATGTTTCTCGAGCAGCAAATCAGTATATTATACTGATTTCTGAAGATCATGTGACACTGAAGACTGGAGTAATGATGCTGAAAATTCAGCTGCGCATCACAGGAATAAATTACAATTTACAATATATTCACATAGAAAACAGCTGTTTTAAATTGTAATATTTCACAGTTTTTACAGTATTTTGAGCAAATAAATGCAGCCTTGTTGAGCAGAAGAGACTTCTTTCAAAAACATTAAAAAAATCTCGCTGACCCCAAAAGTTTGAATGGTAGTGTATAAGTCGTACAACCATTATTATTGTTTAAGAAATACTTGTTTTAACATATTTTGAATTATGAGTTCACCCAAAATCATCATTTACTCACTACGACAGTTTTTGGATGTGAACTATTTCTTCAAATAAATTGTGAGATTTTTATAATAGCTTCCTTTAAAGATATATTTTCACGAGAGCACAGAACAGCATGTTATTTGTATAATATTCAAACCTCTTTAGTTTTATAGCAGTTTATATTAAGTAAATATTGTATTATAGTCTTTTTTGATAAGCAGATGGACAACCATAGAGCTTTTTATGAAGGTGACGTGCATTATGATGTTATATTTAACTTATATAAAAACATCATCGTGACGTTTTTAAGCTTTAAGCGCAACGAACAAACCCACTCTACCTCGCACCATATTGAACAACTTTTTTTTCGCTCAACACTACATTACAAGACAACAAAGTGCCAAATATTATATGCTTTGTTATTAATAAAAAACTGTTTATATCTGCATTGATCTCCTCCATACTTATGTTTGTCTTGGTTGCAACAAATCCCTTAAATTAAGAAGACTGTTATAATGAAAAACAAATGAAGTTTTTCTTAACTTGAGGTGTTTCTTGCAACCATCTACTGACCTCCAAATTGCACAATATTATATCATTAAGATCAAAAGTTCTTCATCAGATCAAACACAGAATGGCCATTTCATATAGAAGTTTGTTGTTTTGAAAAAAATTATAAAACTATTAATTTGAAATATATGTGAAGAAGGCCTGTTACTTATCACTTCATTTGTTACAAAACTTCACATGACGTTCATTTAAGTGACCAACTATTTGTTATGTGCAAGATTTTCTGGAGATTTGACCCGTTTATATTTATCTCACTGAAAAGGGGTAACGTCTAAATTAACAGGTTTTATTCAAGTCAAAATAAATATCACTTTATCAAGCTAAATACATCAGTTTATTTCAAAAACGAACTTGTATGGGTTAAATAAGGAAGAAACAGCTCTTTGAGGTAACGTTTGCAGCTTAACAGGTTTTTACAGTGTACTTGATACCAAAAAACAAACCAGTGAGGGAAAACAAAAAAAAAGCACAACGATGTTGGTTCTCAAACACCTGAGAAACAGCAGAAATGAAAGTAGACTTTGCGGTCACAATTTGTCTTTACAAACGTAATTAACAGAGATTTCACATATTATATCTGTAAGTCACTTTTAAGCTTCTAATACTTACATTCTGAGTATCTTTTAAAGATTAGAAGCCATGAACCTGCCAAATTCAATCATTATTTCATCCTCAAAAGCAGTTTGTGTAGCTCTCTGGTACTTTGTAAACCTGTTTTTGTCTCCAGATTGACTGATATGAACATGTGCATTCAAACTCAGATGTTGGGTAATGATTTAGGGGATCTGATTAAGTATTGTTATATAGTAGGCCTGCTTGCAAAGTCATGTGTAATCAGATAGTCTGCACATGCTGTCTGAGGTTGAAACTAAATGTTGCAGCGATACCTGACGCTCATGTGGTCGGTCTGAAAACCAAAAGTTACTGTGAAACTGCACAACTCGCAGGTACAAATGTATCAAAATTACTAATGGAAATTTGTATATTAATCTTATATATCTATTAAAAAGAGAACTGCTCTGAAGTAAGTATATGAGAGACTTTAAAGTGTTCTGCAAAAAAATTTAAAGCAATTCTGCAAATGTAGGCCTATATAATTTGGAGTATTGTGACTTTGGAATTTACTGTTGTAAATATATCACTGTTGTAATTACAGTGGAGAGTCCAAAACCAAATAATGTATCATAGGTACTGCGACCGTTACTCACTAACCAAAGCTGATGGGAAGAGAAGGGTATTACTGCACAACCAGAGGCTGCAGTTTCACGACTGCATTTCTAGGACCCTATAGTTTTTATTTTTTTATTTGTATGTATGTAGCCTACAGTCATGGCCAAAAGTTTTGGCAGAGACATAAATTGTGTGTTTTGCTAAGTTTGCTGCTTCAGCTGCTGAGTTGTTCATTCACATTGGTTCCAGATTATTGTGTAGAGTGATCAGATGCATTTTAAATAATTGCTAAAAGCTTCATTGGCCAAAAAATGTACTTTTTTGACAAAAAACAAATTTCACTTTTTTTTTTTTTGATCCTGACACAAAATGACCAGCTAACATTAACTGACTAATCACATCAGCAGCACATGTGAAAGTGTGAGAGTACTAGTCAGGTGAAATCACTATCATACTAAATAGATTGTAAGAGCAGACTGATTGCTATAAAAGGAGCGAAGAAGCGCTTCCAGTCATTGTGTTCTTGTTAGCAATGGTTACCTCCAAAGAAACACCTGCAGCATGCTCACATGCAAGGAAATTGCTACAAAGAATATTGCACCTGAAAGAACCATTTACCGGATCATCAAGAACTTCAAGAAGAGAGGTTCGAAAAATAATCTACAAATACTGAAGCAGCAAACTTTGCAAAGCACAGAATTTATGTCACTGCAAAACTTTTGGCCATGACTATAGATAGATAGATAGATAGATAGATAGATTACATCTGGATAGATGCTGAAAAACATATGAACATATTAATAGCATTTAAACCACATTATTACTTGTTTACAGCTGCAAAAACTGGACAAGTAAACTGGATTGGATAAGCAGAAAACATCAGCAAATACTTTTTTCCTGGATTTTTTTTTTTTTTTTTT